GGCAGAGGGAGAAGCAGGCTCCCCACTGAGCAGGGAGCCTGATGTGGGACTCGATCCCAGGACCCCGGAATCATGACCTGAGCCGAAGGCAGACGCTTAACGGACTGAGCCACCCAGGCGTCCCAGTGTGTGAAGTTTTTAGTCGGGCTTGTGGGAAGAGACGCTGTTCTGGTGCTGTGTGAATGTTGGGTACCCCTCCCTCCCCTGTGGACAGGTGGTTCTTTCCTGCGCTCTTGTAGTTTCTCCATACACACGTGCTGATCGGTACTCTGCTACATACTTAAAGGGGACCCTTTCTCTGGAGTTCTCTTGAGTTTCATGAATTTGTGTGTCATCCTTACCCAGGGACCAAGCTAATCTCTGTATCGTTCCAGTTTTAGTGTATGTGCTGCTGAAGTGAGCACTGGACTTCTCTGGAGTTGTCTCTTTTTGCAGCTCTCTCTTGCTCCAGGTCCTCAGTATTTGTCTCAGTTTCTTTGGCCTCTCGGCTTTGTCTCCTCAACTCATGGAGTCTGCAAGCTGGGCCAGGGTCCCCTCCCTGTGCTGTGGAAACTCTCTGGTCAGTGAGATGGGCAATCGTGGGGATCATCTGTTTCCTCTCTCTCAGGGACCCCTATAGTTCGTGTCTGATGTGCCCTATGCTGAAAACTGTTATTTCAGATATTTGGTCAGTCCCGCCCCACCCCCATCCCCACCCCCCAGGGGTTCTTGCGGGGGGGGGGGCGGTGATCGGGCGAGGAGGATACATCTGGTCCCTGTTACTCCATCTTGGCCATTTAAACCTCATAAACATCTAGATTACCCCCCACTTTACAAATGAGAACTTCTGCAAGGCTGTCTTCAATAACTTCCCAAGGTCACCTACTGGAAAGTGGTAGCGTCTGCCGAGGAGCCCAGCGCCGAGCCTGCTCTCGCTGTCTGCGCTCCCACGGCGGAGGAGGTGGTGCGGCCAATGTCTGCTAGAGGGCGGCAGAGGCCCAGGAGTCCAGGATAGTTCCGATAAACCTGGCGGCTTCCCCCCGCCCCCACACGCACCCGGCCCCGTGGCTTCTTTCACTTGATCCTTGTTCTTGGCTCCTATTGTGTCGCCGCTTTCGTGTCCACTCCTAGTGATTTCTCAGCTCTAAGCTTTGTTGCCCGCAACTCTGCTTCTTGGATGGTGGGCTGAGATGCAACCCGAGAAACACCCTCCCCGGGAGTGGGGTGTCGGGGGTGTCGGGGCAGGTTAGGAACTCTGGGCAAGGGATCCATCAACAGTGGGACTGTTCCTCCACTTATTAAAAAAAAAGTTTGCTTTCCAAGACCTTGATGAAATATATAAAAATATTTAAATGCTGTCAACTCAGTCTTTAAGTGTGCTGTTCAAGGAACAGATAGCAATTGGTTACTCTTGTTGAAAGTTCTGAAACTAAAATAAGCCATCTGTTGAGTCTTGACATCTGGGAGTGGTCTCCTTCCTGGCATTGCTTTTTCTCCAGGCACAAATACGGATCCTAGAGGGCCAAAGGAGGCAGAAGTCACCAGAAACCTTAACAGAATACAGCTGCATGGAGACCACCAGACCCCTCTATATGTTCACACCTCCTGGATGTGGGCTCCTGGTGGGCTCACCTTTGTACCCCATGGAGCCCACCCAGCTCAGAGTCTGTGCCAATATACATTCTTTAGCAGACTTCAGGGATTTGAGCTGCATATATTCTTTCCCTATACCAGGCATCATGATCTCAAGCCTTTTCGACAATTTTTCATCTATTTATTCATTAATGAATAGGCCCAGTGCTGGTACAAAGGCGTGCAAAACAGACACAATTGCTTACTTGTAGAGCTTGACATCAAGCAGGATGTTCAGTGCACAGGGTGCAGCGAGCATGAAGCCAGGAGACCTAACTGGGTCCTTGAGTCAAGAAAGACTTTCTGGAGAAATGAGCTCTCAGCTTGCCTGCAGGTGGAAAGGGCTGGGCAGTAGGGAGAAACCGGTGTGAGCAAGACCTGCAGAGGGTGTGCAGGGAGGAGAATGGATCGTCTCTCTAGCTGGCAGTACCTCGGGCCCTGTGGGCTGTAACTGAGGGGCTTTGCTCAGGGATTTGTAGGGAAACAAAACTGTGCCAGGTCATCTGAGTAGAGAGAGATTTAACCTGGGGAACGGGGGGGCTTTTTCCACCGTGTGAGAGCCTAGGGAGTGGAGGTCAGGAAGACTCCCTCGGGACTTCCAGAGCAGAAATCAAAGGGAAGTCATCACCAGTGACTCCAGGGCCTGCGGCACCAAAGCAAGTGTGGCCAGGAGGCCACCTGGAGACCCGAGAGCTGCCTGTCCGCAGATGTCACCTCCCTGCGGCACCCAGAGGCCAGGGACCGCAGCTGCGGGACAGAGAAACACACAGTTTCTCTCCTGCTGAACTCCACATGCCGGTGTATGTGCTCACAGACTGACCTAAACCCGGGGGGCAGTGATTCTGGGTCTCCAGGCTTATCTTTGAGAAGCAGAGGACAGTGCAGCAGGGACAAGGAGATGCTGATGACCACAGACAATCCAGAAAAATCAGTTTTGGAGAAGGAACTAGGTGCGTGTCTTGCCTCTCTCACTGGCCATGTGTTGCGTCCCCAGGTCTCAGTTTTTTCCCCTGTAAAGTAGAGCGACAATACTACCTGCTTAATGTGTGTCATAAAACATCAGCCACGGCCGCAGAAGTCAAGCTCTTAGCACAGTACTGGGCATGCAGGTGTCAATAATTTCAGATCATTGGCATTATAACCATTATTATTGTAGTGATGCTTTTGTTATCGTGTGTCGAAAAGAAAATTGAGAGCCATCAAAAGATCTGAAAAGCAGAACAGAAAGATGCTCATCTTTGAGAGAAGTCGCAGTGGCTTCGGGGGGTCAGTAGGAACGACAGCCACGCGTGCCAGGACCACCAGAGTGAGGCACCGAGTGCATCCCACTAGCCATTCAACGCCCACATCTTTGTCAAGTTACTGTGAATCTCAACACATTCAAATGGGCCATGTGCATGATGTACGCAGGGTGGGCGGGATCATTGCCCCACTTTTGGCCCAATGAGAATTTGACATTCTCCAGGGGCCACAGTTTTTAAAACTCTGTCCAGTGGGGTTCAAATAGCACAGTTTGCTTAGTCTGAACCGTTTCAAGAGGTTGCTCTGGCTTTTTCCTCCATTTGCAGGTGGCTTGGGGCCACAGGAGCCTCTGAATAGGGTTTGCACTCTTAGTCTGGGGGATCGTAACAGTACGATTCTGGAAGGCTCTGTATGGTGGAAACAGCTCCTGAACATGGATGGAAATGAGACAGACCCCTGAACTGGGCAGATGTGGAGTCATTGTGGAGCCAGCTGAGCTGGGGTCCAAGGGCAAGGTTCACAGGCCCAACAGGGAACTTTCACTCAGAAAACTGGAAAAGGAACCAGCACCCAGGGGCCCAACTACACAGAAACTAAAGGCCCAGGCCTCTAAAGGCTGCAGACTCAATCTGGTGTGTGGTTGCTGGTAGGCACAAAGCTCCAAACCTCCTGAGGGTTTGCAGATCCTGGAGGTCTGAGCCTGTAGGAGGAGGGTCGGGAGTTCCTGCCTTACTATGTCAAAGATGCTGTTCCAAACACTGTTCTGTTCTCACTATTTAATTCCCACACCCACTCTAGGAACCAGATGCTATCCTATCTCCAGCTACAAATGAAGAAACTGAGGTTCAGAGAGGGTAAGTCACCTGCCTCAGGTCACACAGCTAGTGAGTCTGATGGCTAGGACCCCAGTAGCCTGGCTCTGGACAATGTGTCTGGCACCCTGCCTCTACAGCCCATCCTGAAGGCAGCTGGGAGACTGTTCAGTGCTCTTCAAAGCCGGCCCGCAGAATTTGTGGGTATTTGAGGGGGGCATTGCTCTGTAGGAAAGAACGTGACTAAGGCAGGGCCAGAAATAGCTCAGTCCAGTCCCTGGAGTATTGTGTGCTTGTGTGCACGCCTGTGTGTGCATGTGTACGTGTGCATATGTGTGTGTTTGCGCACATGTATGTGTGAGCTCAGGAAAAGGCAAGCTCCAATTAGGTCAAACCCTAAGAAGGGGGAAATGCAAACATGCTGAATCCCTTCTGACAAAACAAGTTCTTTCTGTTTATTCATGCGCTCTTTATCATTTTAACAGAGGCCGTGTTGCCTCTGAGGGAGTAAGTTTAGAAAGTAAGCCTCTGTGTTTGTGATGTGACTAGCATTAAGTAACCAGGAAACTGCTGTTCACATCTACGGCCTCACGCTCTCTCTCTAGTACTCATGACAGCAGACAAATAGCATCTCGGCATCTCAAGCCTGCAAAGGACCTGAACGACCTTTCCTGTCAAGGAGCTCAGATGTGCCTTCCTGAATTGTGCACTTATCAGGCTTGGCTCCCGGCTCCCAGCCTTTCTTTCCTCATCTGGAAACCTACTTTTTCTCGGGGCATTCTAGGGGTTAGTGAAGGAGCTTGCGTGGAGGACATCAGCCCGGCGAGGCACGTCCCTGGCAGGCCACAAAATCAGCTCACTTTAGCATCCTCAGTTCCGCGTCCCAGTGCCCGACAGAGTGCATGTTACTCTCCTAGGACAGTTGTTAGCACAACTTGGCTACTGAAAATCAAAAGTATGGGCTTTTCTCACTATTGTCTAATTTGGGAGGTTTAAGATCTAGTTTAGGGGTTCAAAGAACTGAATATTGAATATTTTATTCCCTTGTGTTCCTGCTACCTTGCTCTTAATCCTCCTTCCAGCAGGACAGACTAGTGGCATGCTAGCATACAAGCATGGATGGGAAATAAATACACAAAAATAACATTTCTACCTGTCACCTTGCTCCTCCTTTTAGACTGAAGACGCCTGTATTTGTTAGCTGGGCTGGTCTACGCCCTGAGGGAGGTGGGTTTGCAGTTGCCCCCCAGCAGCCCACCGAGGCCCAGGTGGCAGGTTCAGAGGGCCGGAGATCCTGTCTTCTGTCTCTTAATCTCTCTGGCCACTCTTCGGCGTTTGGTGTGAGCTCTGTGCAATCACCACTAACCCACGGCTTATCTAACCCTCCCTGTTGTTTCCAGGGATGTTTACAAAACCAACTCAGACCAATGGTAGCTTTTTAGAAACCTCATGAAGAATTCCCACAATCTACCCATAACCTCTGCAGAGGTCAGTGTCATGTAGTGGGTTAACACCCACCTGGGACGCTGCGGGCCTGACTCAGCTTCCCCCCTTTGCCCCCGACTCTGCAACCGCGAACATTGCAGGTACTGTTGGAGCTTCATTGTCTTTATATGCAGAACAATGATCGTCCAGTCTTGCTCTGCTGGATTCACAGGATTGTTTAAGGATTCAACCACTGTAGATGGTCAATTCTTTGTGAACCGAACAATGCTGGACCACTTGTCCTTTTATTCATC